GGATCAGATTGGATGTAGGTATTTTTTTTAATAGTATTTACGATTTGCTTTGTTTTTAACGGCCACATTTTAGTGTTTGCTTTGCTTCAGAATCTTACGGATATTTGAATTTTTTGGTTCGGATCAAAACGAATAGCGGATCAAATCGGATTTAGCGGATTTTTTGCCCAACTCTATAAATACACGTACGCGTGGGGATATTTTAATATTATGAATAAGTGTCAAATCAACAAAAGAATATTGAAAAATGCTAAAAATCTATATGAAAAGTTGAAAAAGTGCCGAACTGCCCAATTATTTCAAATGATTTTTACTCAAACTAATAAAATTTTGAATAATGATTTTAGCTATCTAGGTTTATTACTGTTAGCCGAATTTATAGTCCCATAATTTATTGAGATATTCTGGATGATATTATTTCAGTATTCTTTTTTTTTTTTGACGTGATATTATTTCAGTATTCAGATGATCCGTTTCAGTTTTTATCCCGTTATTATTTGAGTATTTCTATGCGGATCTCTTGGGATTCTATATGGTCTGGGCCTAAAATGGGCCCCAACCCAAGCGATGAGTTGGTTGGGTTTCCATAAGACAGCAGGATTGTCGACAACGAATGTCGGCAAAAAATAAATAAATTATGTCGACGTTGAAAATAATTTGATGATTCAGCCTCACGACTCCTCTGGACACGTGTTGGTTTGCGTATCAAAAGGAGCTCTTATAAACGTCGAAGGCATTTTGCATAGTCTCGTCCGCCAAAATTGGACATTGAGCGCTTTAAACAGCTAATAAATCCAGCAATTAGGGCTAACTAACTTCGCCGGATTCTCAAGAAATCTTCGGATTCGATGGCGAGGACGACGGGGATTGGGAGCAACGGAGGGAAGAAGAATGGGGCGGGTCAGTTTTTTCTAGCGACGCTGCTTCTTTGGCTTGTCTCCGTCGTGTTTGAGATTGTTTTCAATCTCCGAACGGAGCTTCTTTGGGTGATTTGTGGTGGATGCTTTTTTCAATTCGTGAATTGGGTTGTTCGTTCTTGGCTCTCTCGTGACCCTCTCTTTGTTAATACCTCTGTTTCGCTTCTGCACTCGATCATCACCTCCGCTTCAGGTAATCATCACCTCTCTTTCTTTGTGGTCTATTCAATTCTCAATTTCCTTGGTGCTTTGTGTTTTTAACCTTTGCATTAGTCCATTGCTAAATGCAATTCTTATTTCTGATTGAAATTGTTCGTACGATTGCTTCGTTTAGTGGTTTGGTTGTTGTTGTCTCTATGCCGTTTCTTGTAATCACTTGAATCCTCCTGTATAACTTAGTCACAGACATATTTGATGTTTAGGCTAAAGAGGGCTACTTTCAAGGTTTTGCTCTTTTGCTTTACAAACTTTGCCCTGTACCAACAAGCATGTCTTTGACTATGGAATCAACTCTTCAACTCCCATTTCTTTGTTGAATCCATTATCGGAATGTGGGTGGATATCTTGTTTTTAGTTAAGAGAAAGAGATAGAACTAAGTGGATGGATACTTAACTATGAAAACATTGCGTGTATGTTCGACACTGTCCCTCAAATATTGATCCCTGCACTAGTCTACTGTGGTCTATAAGTTGATTAATAGGCGTGTTTCTTGGATTGCGGCAACTGTTCTTGAAGATACTGGAGTGCATAATGCAGTTCCTTTTTTTGTTTATACAAACGTTGGGTCCAGGGAGCTCATTCGTCGTTTCGGTTATTTTGCCATTCATGCTGATCATTTAATCTCAATAATCATTTCTATTTGAGACCTAGTTTATGCCCGTCAATGTATTCACCTAAATTGTTTGAAAGACCATCATACCATCTGTTTTGCTATATCTTGTGTGTGGTGCAGTTCTTTCTTCACCAAACCATACTGATTATGTTTTTGCATCTTTTTCAACACTACACTTGTGCTACTGCAGTGGTTTTCATTCTGCTCAATCAATGCTTAGCCAAAGGTTTAGACGATATGTTCGATCATTCAGAGTTGGTTGGTGGTACTTGGAAATGGGCATATCCAGCTTTGTGTTTCTCTTGCGGCTACTTTGCATATGACCAGTGGGATATGCTTCAGTACCGGCTATACAGCGGCTTAATACCTTCCATTCTGGTTCACCATCTCGTCCTCCTTGTTTGCTTCACATTGGCTCTTTACCGAAACGTAACCATTAACTACCTGATTCTTACTCTAATTTGTGAGGTACGTTCCACTTGTGTCTCCCTGAAGATTTCCCCCCTCGGCTTTTCTCTGTTCTTTTCCGGATCTATGCTTACATTAATTAGCTCTAGTTTCATATATAACAATCTAGTTTGATATAAACTAAATTTTCACCTCCACAAACCAAAGTGACATTTGTTACTCCGATGTGTAAACAGATGCACTCGATCTTTCTGCACGTGAGAAAGCTAAGGAGAATGGCGGGAATCAGAGACAGTAACACGGCATTGGTGAAACTGGAGTGGGTACTAAACTGGACAGCGTTTGTGTTTGCTAGATGCATTCCTCACATTCTCATCACTGTCAAACTGATCAAAGACGCACACAAGTTTGGGAAAGGCGTGGAGTTACCGCTCGCTCTGTCTGGTATGGTAGGAATGAACGTTCTCAATGTCGGCCTCGGAATGGATTTGTTTCATGCTTTCAGAAGAGAGAAAAGCAACATAAGAAATCAAGAGAATGGCAACCATCACAAGCATGAAGAATGATTAGCCAATTTAGAAGCCAACCATTAATCATCATCAGCTGAAATACATGGTTAGTTTGTATGACTACTACTCATTCACTCACTAATCTGTTGTTAATATCTGAGGCTTTGCTACTAAGTTCTAATAGCTTTCAGATTTGTATTTACTAAAGGAAAAATATTTTGTAAATGTTTATTTGTTGATTATTACAATTAGCCTTGGGCATTCGTTTTTTCTTTGCTAGGTTCAGATTTTTCGGGTTTAGGGAAACTGACAAGAGATGAATGATATGAATTGAATCGCTTGTTATTTACTTGACCTCAAGGTCTGTATTCACACAAGATGAAATTCTAACAAGAATGAAAATCTTCTAACAAAAGGAAATCTAAGAAAAGATAAATATACATATTAGTTTTCTATTTACTTGACTATCAAGTTTCTCCCTTAATACCTCCCTCA